CCTCGGCTGGGGGAGATGTGCGGCCGCGGCCGCGCTCCCTCCCACGCCAAAGCGCCCGTCTCCGTTGAAAGTGTCAGTGGCGGGGCTACCTGAGCACGAGGGGAAGGAAGGGGAGCTTTGCTCTAAATGGTGGTAGGCGCCCGTCCCACGGTTACAAATTGCATACTCTAAGAAGGAGTTCATCCTAGTATTGTCCATCTGCCAGTGATGGAGGAGGGTCAGCCTGTTTTGGGGGGGATTCCGCCTGCCCTACAACCTTTAGATAGTATGTCAAAGCTGTAAAACTTCCTTCCATGCATCGCTGGCCCTCGAACCCCGCAGCCTTTGGCGGGGCCGGGGGGGGGGCAGGGGGAGGCGGCCACGTGGTCCTCCCCAAGCCCAATGAGCGAGGGGCTCCTGAAGTTTGTCACATCTCTGAGCTCATCCATCAAGGCCTTGACATTTGCATGACAAAGGGGCTTCAATCAAACCCTGCCCATCAATCTGATAACAACACGAATACGTCAAAATCTTTCCTCAAAGACTTTAAAAGAGAAGAGGGAGGTGGGGTGCGGGGAGGTGGAGGGGAAGAGGGGCTGAGGGAAGAATTAGAATTATCCACGACTGTTTTAAGTGCTAAAAAGCCTCCCAAATTATGCGATTAGCCAATTTCAGCAGAACTTCCCCTTGCCTCAACTTAAAAAAAGTTTTCCCTAACCCTATCTCCATGTGAGAAAGACAGTGGGAAAAGAGGTAGAGAAGTCTGAGTGCTCTTCCCCTAAACACAAAAAGATGCTCTTTGCTTCATTTCGTAACTATTCCCTACAAAATTACTTGAAGATGTTTCGCGTTTTCTGGGCTGAGGAATCTAATAAAAGCTCCTAATAAAAATAGGCTCCATGTGCTTTAATTTTGCCACATCGGCTTTGTGTCTAGGGCCAGTGCGGGTAAGAGCAGTGTAATTAAATCAATATTCTAATGAGGCGACGAAATAAAGTTAGGAAGACAGAATGTCTTTTGTTGGAGAAACACCATGGCCAGCTTAGCAGTTGGGGGAACAGAACTAAAAATTATCCATGTGTTTATTCGTGTTTCTTCCCATCCATCCACTCACCTCCCCATTTACTGCTGAAACCAGGAGATGTTCAACCAATCCTGGAAGATGAAGCTCTCCTTTTCCATGGCAAACCTGGTTTGATCTTCCCCCGAATCTGTTGTTAGACTAGAGCTTTTCCTTGGCAGAGTCCAGCCGATGAGTAGGTGGAAAGACACTGGCTTCAGGCCGGCCACTCCACTGCCCAGAGAATGGGAACATAGGTAGGCAACATTTATTTACTTGTTAGCAGAAGGGAGACAAGAGCACCCAACAACAAGACGCCCACAGTCATTTGTTACTTGTCAGGATATTTACTGGTTATTGAGCCTCTCAGAAGAACCAGGAGGACTCTCTTCTTTCTTTCTTCTTTTTTTTAAATTTTTTTTTCTTTTCTCCTTTTCCCCCCAGGCCAAAAGTTCACTTGGAAAGGCACAAACACGTCCTGTAGTTGGTAGGTTTGGCTGATGCAACACATTGGGGTAACATTTGTTAAGAAACTGCAACACAGGCACCAACCTTCCTCCCTTCTGTAAATCCCGCCGGGAGAAGAGGTGTCCTTTAGCCAGTTAAAACTCTTGTCTTTCAATAAAAAGAAAGAGAAAACTATTTCCAGAGCCGAGTACCTATTTATTTATTTATTCTGCCGACTTTGCTGATGCTGAGATATCAAAAAAGAAAATCTTCTAGATTACAAATGTTCTCTGAAACTCACTACCTCATTTTTTGCATAAAACAACCGAAAGTTATTAGAAACATTCAAAGCAACTCCCATATCATTCCCCTTGCAAGAGAAATCGGTTTCTAATTTGATTCCAGGAGTGCTTTTTATATTATGGTGCCCTCGCGTTTAAATTAAATGTATTCTATTTAAACGATGCTTGCAATAGAGGATTTATGGGTGTAAAATGAAAAAATGAAAAGGATAGATGTTTCTTTCATCCTTGAATCAATTGTTTCGTATTGTCTGATAATTTTCCACCATGATCTCACTCCGCTGTTACATTAAGGGGGTTCTTTATGGCATTAAAATGCAACTGTCTTCTGGAGTTTCAGAATTGGCTCCGAGAGAACTCTCTGCTGCGGATTTAAGGGGGAAAAGTTGGGCTGAACCTCTCGTCTCGGCGAAGGTTGCACTGAAGTTGAGACCTGAGGCAGCTCTGGAGTGAAAGCACCGAGTTAGTTAGGTTGGTGGGAAAATCGGGTAGGACGGGATGGAAACTGTAGCCATGCAATGCAGCAGATATCCCAAGCAAGGGATGAAATGGGGTGCCCGGGCTCCTGGGAGCCCCTCCAGCCCCGGCTTTCGGGGAAGAGGAGATACTGGTGAGATGGTTGTGTGGAAGTGAAGATGGAGCCCAGGAGGGGATGTGCGGAGCTGAAGTGACTGGCTTTTTTAGTCCTTCTGTGGAGTTAACTGTCAGATGGCAAAGATGGGGTGTTGGAGCCGATTTCCTGCCAGAATGGGGCCCTCCCTGCCCCCGGGCCCTGCGGGGCCGCTCGCCATCTGCTCCATCCGCAGCCTGCTCAGGCCCCTCACTTCTTACCTGCTGCGGGAGCCCAGGCAGCAGCAGAATGGGTCGCCCCCCGCCCAGGACCAGCACCCCACGGGCTCCTCTGGGTGCCCTTTCCCTGAGCTGCCGGACTGACCGCCCTGGGCAAGGCGAGCGCGGTAGCTGCTCTTCAGCCCTCGCTGTCCTTCGACTCCGGCTTGCTTTCCCAAAGCGACCTGCTCTTCCCCAAAATGCAGGGCCTGCGGCGACTGCGCGGTATTTTCGAAAGCCTCATCATCAACGTGCATGTAGGCACATCGCCTAGAAATCGCTTTCCCAGATTTCCTCCATAGCCCCTTGCTCTTATTACTGTTGCTAATATACTTAATACTAGTTATTGTTTGTCGATATTAATTCGTATCACTTAATATTAATTGTTACTGTGTCATTAATAGATTATTTTAATTAATAATAATTATTTCCATTCCCCTTGTGGAGAAGATGTAAGACCCAGTTTCGGTACAGACCTTCATAACCTGCAAGAAGAAGAAATATCAAGTTATTGTTAACAACCAATCGCCGGATGAGCTTCATTGTATCACTTGCACTTTTATTTCTTTAAAACCTCCTTGGTGCGGAGACGAGACAGGAAAGGCAGTGAAAGGTGTAGGCGGAGATTCTCAGATCATCGGAGCTGTGTCCTACACCCCCTCCAAATCGTTCCTTAGCCTTTCAATTTATTTATTACTTGATTTTCACTTCCATTTTGAGGGGCACAAGAATTATTCCTACCCCCCGAACCACAGACGGCACTGCTTTGGGGTTGCTGCTGTCTTTCACTCAACAGGATTACAATAAAATCACAGAAATCCAGATGGATGAAGATGGAGCCTTAGCAGAGGATTTTTAGTTCTTTGATTCCTGGAAAAAGAAACTGCTGTCCAGGAGCTGGGTCGGCTGGTCCGTGGGAGGTAGGGAAA